TGTGTGTGTGTGTGTGTGTGTGTGTGTGTGTGTGTGTGTGTGTTTTAAGGTCATTGGCAATAAGCTCTAACACGTTGCAGCTATCTGTACAGAACCATTTCATTCGCTTCACTTATTGTAACATTTCCACATCACGGCCTCAGTGGCTGCTTCGCTCGACAGGAAACAAAAGGAACTTGTTTTTCTTTTTTGTTTGTTTGTTTGTTMTTCCTTGTCTGAGGTTTCTTTAAGAAGCAGATGTACATAGAATTGTAAATATGGTGCTCTCTTGATCTCGGACCTTCTTGTGCATAGCTGTACAGTAAATCTAGCCTTCTAATAACTGTAGTAAAACTATGGATGTGTCGGTAACAATAAGAAAAGTCCGACTTCCCTTCATCCCGTCGGGTCCGTTTGGTCGTTGTCTTACTCAGCTGTGTTCAGGTGAAGACGTGCATGTGTTTCAGTGTCGGACATGTGATGGTCCACAGAGCAGACCATCGACTCACACACGGGGTTCTGGACCAAACAGCAACAAAACCAACGATAGAGCTGACAGGAACTTCACTGGAACATTCTGTAGTTATTTGTTGTCAGATGTTGCATATAGCTTACAGTAATACCTTCAAAATAAAAGTGGAATTCTGTCTCAAACCTCTGCTCTGAGTTTTTATTGTGTCAGATCAGATGAAACTAATTCTGTATTGTCTCCCTGTCAGTAAAAGTTCAACACAAGCTGCAAGCTAAATGTTTATTCTGCTTCCAGCAAGAACTTTAAGTTCCCATGACTCACAGTCTTTAAACAKAAAAAGTCTTTATGTTTAAGAAACTTGGCATAAAARGTGATTTTACCCATTTATAACTGGCATTTTCTTTTGAACTTGGCTCTGCCAAAATGAAACAGGAAGTGACATCAAAGGGGAACTCTTTAGGAAACCAAACTCTGGTCTTTGTTTATTGAAACAATATTTGAACTCTGACTCTTCTCTCTCTGATGGAGAAATAATCTAAAGAAACAGATTCGTCTAATCTGAGTTGTTATTGTAGCGGCGCTATGTTTACATGCAGACATTCCCCTTTGACATCACTTCCTGTTTCTTCCCATGCAAGTATCTCAACAACTGTTCATCTCAGCTGTATGGGGGTATTTTTTTGCAATGTGTTTATGTTTTAAATGTTATCTCCAAAAATACATTCATATTATTACAAAAAAAAAGTTGTGTACCAGGTACTTAAACATGCAGTGTCATCAGAAATCAGTCACAGTCGAAATAAATTGACCTTGACAGAAAAGATTCAATAAACCTTCACTGTCCAAGTGTAGGAAGTGAAGTTATTTATTAAGAGTAAAAATAAAAGTCAAAATAAGRGACTGTCTTAATTCAGCTTACAGAATTTTTTTTTCCAACACTCTAAACCTCAGTAGTTCTGTTCAATCCATCAGAGAAACAAGGAATATGAGAACCTGTAAATCTACCAGGAGCAGGTCGACACAAACTGAGAGACCTGACACCTGAGACCTGAGACCACCAAGACACCTGAGACCACTCTGAAGGAGGTACAAACCCTACCAAGGTTAAATACAACAAATGGTTTTTCAGTCTGAGCTTGAGAGGTCTGAAGAAAGACAGTTCCTGTTGAAGAAAACTCATTAAACCTGGACGATGTGGAGGACTGGATGGTCTCTGCAGCCGGACCCTGTGAGGACTGAGGCTAAAATAAAAWGAACTGCACAACACAAGTCCTGGGGAGGTCTTGGAAATCCTTTGGTATCCATCCTAATTTTAACATTTTATTTATTTAATGTTTTTTTTTTTTTTT